ACGGGAGAATTAAAGGGGGTCCAAACAACAGTCTAAGCCTCTATTCCCAGTCCCTCCCACTCTGACAGGGATACAGGCAGGCCAAGGGCCTTCAGCCTTCTCCAGACGTTTCTGTGCCTGTCAGTCTGAAGAGCTTCTCAGCAACAGCTGCCCCACCTCTGGGCAGACTCCCAGGGTACGTCTAGACTAAAAGCTTTTGTCGACAAAGATCATCTACACTACATCCAGTTTTGTTGACAAAGCAAGCTGCTTTGTCGACATGACAATGTAGATGCAAAGGACAGTGCAGATGCAATAACGCCTTCTTTCAACAGAACTCTGTCGACAAAAGGCGTTATTCCTCATAGAATGAGGTTTATAGACGTCGACAAAACTGCTGAGTTCTGTCAACATTATCTTGACAGAACTCAGTGGCAGTGTAGACACAGGTATAGTTTTGTTGACAAAAGTCCACTTTTGTTGACAAAACCCCATAGTCTAGACACACCCCCAGTGCAGGCAGAACAAGCAGGGTAACATGGCTGGATCCAAGAAAATGCTCTTCCCAGCATGTAGCTCTGTTGTGGTCTCTCATCCACCCTGATGGGCGCTCTGAGCAACGGCTTTACCTGAGCTTTTCTGCCTTCCTGCTTGTTGTCCAGTAGCCTGCTCTTGAGCTAAGAAGAGCCAAACTGGTTTAACCCAATAGAGCTCCAACATGAACATCCAAAGTAGCGCTACAGCAAAGATCTCAAATATAGATTTTAACATATGCATTCATTAGTACAGCTCAGCTCCAGATCTGTCCTAAGGCCCTTCCTGGGTGGTACAAAATGCATGAATACCATAGATTAACAGAGAGAAAGGCAGAGAGAGATCAAGAGAGAGAGAGAGAAAGATGAGCAATAAGTCCCATTTCCAGGGATGTTCATGCACGTAACTTTGAAATCCATTTCCTGCCAACCGTCCTCACATCTAATCTAGTTTGTCAGTGACTCTCTTCCTATTTGTGGTGTAAATCCAAGACTAGGTTTTTCTGATCTTCCTTGAGTTCCTGGGACTTTCTAGACATGTGCTGAGAGCAGAAAGATACCTGAACGTTTCCCATTCTTTTTCCTTTCAGGGAGGAAAGTTCCAAACTTCTCAGACCTGCCCCATTCATGATGTCAGCTGTCAATGACACTTCATTCACACATGCAGTGTTCCTCCTCACTGGGATACCTGGGCATGAAGACGTCCATATCTGGATCTCCATCCCCTTCTGCTTCGTGTATGTGATTTCGATAGTAGGAAATTCCTTCATTCTGTTCATTATAAAAACAGACCCTAGCCTCCATGAGCCCATGTACCTTTTCCTTTCCATGTTGGCCCTCACAGACCTTGGTTTATCGATATCCACCATACCGACAATACTGGGCTTTTTCCTGTTTAACTCTAGGGAGATCAGCATCAATGCGTGTTTTGCCCAGCTGTTCTTCATCCACACACTTTCATTCATTGAATCCTCAGTGCTCTTGGTGATGGCCTTTGACCGCTTTGTGGCAATTTGTAGCCCACTGAGGTATACTTCCCTCTTAACTCTGCCGAGAATCGCAAAGTTGGGATTAGTTTGCATGCTCAGAGGGGTTGCTGTATCATTCCCATTTCCTTTTCTCCTGAAGCGGTTCCAATACTGCCGATCCAATGTCCTCTCCCACTCTTACTGCCTGCACCAGGACGTCATGAAGATGGCTTGTTCAGATATCAGAGTCAACCATGTCTACGGCTTGTTTCTTACAGTCTCTACAGTGGGATTGGATTCACTGCTCATCTTCCTCTCTTATATGATGATCCTCAAAACAGTGCTGAGTGTCGCATCCCACACGGAGTGCCTCAGGGCCCTGAACACCTGCGTCTCCCACCTCTGTGCCGTCCTGCTCTTTTACACCCCAGACATTGGCCTGTCTTTGCTACACAGATTTGGAAATGGTTCTAACTTGTTTCAGGTTCTCCTGGGCTACATCTATCTGCTGGTCCCACCTCTGATGAACCCGATTGTGTACAGCGTGAAAAGCAAACACCTTCGTGCGAGGATCATCAGGGTGTTTGTCAAGTGAAGGGTCGATTCAATACCACGTCTCAGGTCTGGTGACACAGGACATGAAAAACACAGGCCACCATCACTTGTTCCACCCTGGACCCTTTTATCAGGCTGAGATTTACTCAGTAGAGAAATCATCAGATGGGTTGTGTGGCCTGGAGAAATGGAAGAGGGGTTGGTGTGGGAACACAGCACACAGGGCGAGGGGGTGAAGGAGACCTTAGAGGGCAGCAGCGTTTCCAAAGTAAGTATGTACATGGAGAGCTAGGTGAGCAGTGCAATGGTCACATAAATAGCTACCTAGGCGGTGGCTCCAACTTCAAAATTCCTGATGCTACAGACAATAAAGAGACGGGAGGTGTCTGTTGTTTCCCATGACACCTGGCCTTTCCCTGGCCTGTCTCTGGTTAAACATTCAGGGGCCATGAAACAAGCTGCGGAGCTGTTCCCACCACCCTCTGAGCCAACCGAGGCTGAGCAGAGCTGTGTGTGTGAGGGAGAGTCTGGCATACAGACATGGGGGTTCCGGCAAAGGACTTAGACCCAGATTCTATGCACCTCCCTGCCTATGTGCTGCCCCAGATGCTTGGAAAGGTTGGAAACATTCCCCAGCTCCCCAAGAGAGGCACAGCTAGCTCCTCTCCCAACCTGGCCCAGTCAGTGTAGCGTGACCCCCTTTTCAAAATCCAAGCAGGACACCTACCCGAGCTTCATCCCCCTCTGTGACCTGGCATCCCCCTCTGTGACCTGGGCCCACCCCTTGTCTTTCCTCTTTAGTCCCCACCCTCTGCTCCTCTCCTTCCCCAAGACTTCATCCTCCTCATTACCTGAGGTGCCCCTCCCTGCAGGTCTGAGGCCGGAGTTGGCCATAGTAAGGGTTGCCCAGGGAACCAGAGCCACTATGTGGAGTATCAGGCCCTACTTGTGTCCTGGGCAGATAGAAGCCCCCACAACCATTTTCACCCCCCTCTAATGTGGGGGGTGCAATTGAGGGAAGGTAAAAAATTTGAAGCTCCACACAACAGCCTGTGAGCAAATGGGGGAAGGTAAAAAATTTGAAGCTCCACACAACAGCCTGCCCACTTCACAGCATCCCTTCCCACAGCGTCCTTCTGACATGGCCAGGGGGATGGAACCTGTGGGGAAGTGCACGGGCAGATGCCAAGGCCTGGTGGGAAGACCCACAGCATCCCTTCCCACAGCATCCTTCTGACATGGCCAGGGGGATGAAGCCTGTGGGGAAGTGCATGGGCAGATGCCAAGGCCTGGTGGGAAGAGATGGGGCAGAGCTTACCACAAGCTGGCCTTGTCCTGGCAGGGGATGAGACCCTCAGGGGAACTGGAGGAGCAGGGGGAAGGAGCCTCCTGGGAAGAGATGGGGCAGTTTGTGGGATCTGAGGGGGAAAAGATGGCGCAGCATGTGGAACCGAAAGCTGACGCCAGCACGCCAGGTGGGAGGGGGATCCTGAGTGCAGGAGGAGAGTGGAGCCGGTGGGCAGGAGTGCCCGTTTTTTGGAGAAGACAAATAAATGCAGCCCCTCAAAGGGGGCTGTTGCTTTAAGTACCCCAGGAAGAGAGTCAGTCATTGCAAGGACCTTACATGGAAGAGCAGGGTGGGCTGTGCTCTTGGGAGCCGATACCAACAGGGAGAGGCTGGCCCAGCCCCTGGGCTGCTATAAGCTCCACCGAGGCAGGGGGAGATCAGACCCCTGTAACTAGCAGAGATCCTTCCCCTCCCCCCCCCAGCCATCCCTGCTCTCTGCAGCACAGAGGGGAGCTCGGTTGGCACAACAGAGGACCCAGCCTGGCCTGTCACCCCTCAGATGGTTGATGCTGTGGTCTGGGTGCAGCTCTCTGACTCGGGGCAGCTGGATTTGATTCCCTCACAGGGGCGGAGGGAGAATCAATAAATCCCAGGAGTTCGGATACTCTGTGATCTGAGAACCGGGCTATGGGAGGTTTGCACAGAGGAATGCACCTGACCACAGCTTCATGTGAGAGTTGGTCCCTGTGGCCTAAGCAGGTGTACTCTGGGGTCATGGTGAGGGCTGGGTAGTGGATTTCGGAGGGGAGTGCTGGAGCATCCCAGGTATATACACTGGCCAAGAAGAATGGGGATTGTCACTGTAAAACAGGGATAGATGGTCCCTTTTCCCTCTAAAACTGGTCCTCTCTTGTCTTGGGGAGGGGAGGTTTGACAATTGTCCCACTCTTTAAAATGGGGATGACATCCCATAATAGTTAAACGTCACCAAGCAGGCCCAATTAAACTTCTCATGTTTTCTCTTTGGAGTGCTTGTGACCAGAACTCCACAGTCCCCTGCAGGCTCCTTAAAACAAGTAGCTTAATTAGAAATAGCACAATGTGTTAGAGAAAATGATTTAAAAGGGGGCAGGCCACTGCCACATAGCTAGGCTGATCCATCTCATGTGTCACTACAAGCTAAGACAGACAGACCTGGTTCTGGAGCTGGAGAAACAGAACGGGCCCCGCTTACACTCTTGTGGGAAACCAAGGAGCTGTCGGGTCCCAGCCTAGATCGCTGTGCCTCCAAGAGCATCCCCACACCCCTTTCTTGTGCAAGGAGCCTTTGCTGAAACCTGCCTGAGCCTAGGCCCAGTCACCATTGTGCTCAGCCATGTCCACATGACAGGGCCATGGCGTGAAGCTGAGCTTTGCCCTCAAATGGCTTTCTTGCTTTCAGACATGTCGGATAAGCCCCCCTGTTGCTCCATTGTTTGTGAGGCCCACTCAGGCTCCATGGCTTGGGGCTGTGCTGAAACTCTCAGCATTCCCATAACACTCCAACATGCCCCTCAGAAATCCACTACCTACCCCTGCTCTCATCCCTGAGCACCCCCTTCATCACAGACACCCAGGGGATGGGGTCACAGGCTTCCCAGAAGCCACAGGAGGCTGCGGTCAGAGGCCTTTTATAGAGAACTGTCAGCAGTGTCGCTCTGTGGAACCCTGACGCAGCCCTGGCCTCAGGGTCTCAGAGCCCCTGAGCACCTTGAATGTGACTCACCTCCTGCCACTGCTCGGAGGCAGGCTGTGCTATTATTCGTCTGCACAGAGGCTCAGAGCAAACTAGTGGCTGGCTCGTGGTCACACGCAGCAAGGGAATCAAACCCAGTCACGGACACCACGCAGCACCAGCCTCCCAGCCATCTGAGTGGCAACAGGCCCGGCTGGCATCTCTGCTGTGCCACAGAGAGTGGTTGTGGCTGGGAGCCAGTCCCATGCATTTGAGTCTCTGGCCTGTTCTCCCTCTGCCCCTGCAGCCTGCGGGTCGGGCTGACCTCTGTCCGGTGGTAAGGTCTTCAAAGAACAACCCACTCTGGCCAAGGCCCAGCGTGTGAGTGCCTCACCAGGGTGCCCCATGGGGTCTGAGGTAGCCCTGCTGGCACCCTGCCTTTCCTTCTCCGGTCCTGGCAATGACGGACTCAGCCTGGGACACTTAAACCAAGCGCCCCTTTGTGGGTTGCATGAATTCAGTCTTCTCCAAAGCACAAACCACCCTGCCCTGCAGCCCAATCCTCCTACTTTACTTGTGCGCCCATTGGGCACTACTTGTTGGGGTCAGCATTGGCTCAGGCTTGTCTCCATCTCCTTTGCTCAGGCTCTGTCTCGTGCCCCATCTCTTGCCACTAGGCTCTATTTCTTGCTCTTCCACATCCCCCTAGGCTCTACCCTAGCGAGGCCAGAGTTGGTGTGATAGCGCATCGGGGAGCTCTTGACCCTGTACCACCATCCTCAGCCATATGTGACTTTCAATCAGCCAGGAGAGTAGAAGGTTTATTGGTTCCCAGAGACACGGTGTAGCTTAGGATCAATGTTAACATCGGTGCCAGGGTGGGCAGCCTTATTCCTCTTGGGGGGAAGGGCTCACGGACCCTGAACTCCCCTTCCTTGATCTAAAACATCCTCACTCTTCCTAGCCCAGTGGAGAGTAACTCTCCCTCCCAGCAACTGGTCACTGGCCCCAGGCAGCCCCACTTCCTGCATTGTCCTGCTCTCAGACTCAATCTCTGTTGTCACCTGGTCCACAGGAGATGAGACACTGACATATTTCCAGAATGAGTCATGCCTGGCCTCTTCCCCCCTCATGCAGAGAAAGCTGCACGGGAGGAGGGGGAATGAGGTGTGCGCACACACACACTCACACTACAGCAGTGAATGTAAGAGCACCCCCCAGTACATCACAGATGGGCTTTGGTAAAAGTGGGTGATGGACACCCAGCAGCTATGGGAGCCAGACTCTGCACTTCCCGTGGGGGGTGGTTCTCTGGGATGGGGAAATGGACTCAGGGATACTCTCAGGCCTCCAGCCCCTTTTCCATTTCAAAGCCGAGGGTCTGGGAATCTCACAGTGGCTCTGGCTCCATGGGCAGCTCTGACCACTGCCCAGCGCTCCCTTCTGACCTGGAGAGAGAGTGGAGTCCCCGATAAACAGTAGGAGATGGGGGTGTGATCTTGGAGGAAGAGAGGGGGCAGGGGGCAGGAGATCAAGGGGAAAGATGAGGGGAGGATTAGGGTCACGGAGGGGACAGGGCTCCTGCGTGTGTCCCGCTTTGCCTCGAAAAAGAAGGCTGCACTACACTGAATGAGCCAGGCTGGGATAGGAACTAGATGTGCCCATTGGGAGGGGCAGCTGAGGGCGGTTTCCTCCCCATTCCAACCATATGGGGCAGCGCAAACAGCGGGATAGGCCTCTTGCCAGGACTCCTACGTGTCAGACCCTCCCTCGCACACACACAGCTCTGCCCTGCTTTGGTGGGGAGTGAGCCCAGCAGGGGTGTGGGTAGCAGAGCCATCAATGGAGGGTGGGAGCTGCTTGAAAGACTTCTCCTGGGACCGGTGTACCCTGTAAGTCGGGTATTGTGTGGCTGCTCAGGAGCTAATCAGAATCTGCCCCGCTGATTAGCAGAGCAGCCCAGCCACGGCTAGGTGTGTGGGTTCTACCAGTGGTGCCCATTCACACATGTCTCATTGCATGTAAAACTTGAGTCTTCACAGGGATGGAAAAAACATTCCAGATGTGGATGGAAAGGATTAGAGGGATCATTGCTTGGGGCGCCTGCATTCATCGTGCCTCTGACACAACTCAGTCACAAACACCAGGCTGAGGACGTGGGGGGAGGGTGGGCGTCTGAGCCCCTTTTCCCAAGTTGCGGTAGGAAAGGTCTAGGTTGGATATTAGGAAAAACTATTTCACCAGGAGGGTGGGGAAGCACTGGGATGGGTTACCTATTGAAGGGGGGGAATCTCCATCCCTAGAGGTTTTTAAGTCTCGGCTTGACCAAGCCCCGGCTGGGTTGATTTAGTTGGGATTGTTCCTGCCTTGGGCAGGGGAATGGACGTGATGACCTCCTGAGGTCTCTTGCAACCCTAGGATGCTATGATTCTATAATATCCCCTGCCCACAATCGGTGCAGCCCCTGGATCACACAGCACCCCGAGTGCTCAGGAAAGGCCAGGACTGCAACTGCAGAACAGCTCAGCAGCTTGTTTCATGGCCCACAGATGTTTAAGCAGAGATGGAACAGTGACAGGCGAGGTGTCATGGGAAACAACAGCCATGCCCTTTTCCTTTACTGACTGTGGCAACAGGAATTCTGTGGTGGGAGGAGCCACCAACCCATCTCTTCGTGGGCCAATATCCCACTGAACTTTGGCTCTCCACGCACTTTGTAAATGCTGCAGCTTTCCTTGATTACTTTACCCCCCGGACATTCTGCCCTCACCCGCCCCTCTCCCATTGTCTCCAGCTTTAGGCCCAGTCAGAATCTCTCTCTACAGAATGAATATTAATTGTTTATGTTGTCTTGACTGTAAAGCTCCAGGATGGAATCGCTGGCCGTGGCCCATGGTTTTCGTCTTCCATGTCACTTGAGCAAGAGCTGGCTGATCAACTGACCTTTCACTTGATGAACACCCTGATGATCCTCGCACGAAGGTGTTTGCTTTTCACGCTGTACACGATTGGATTCATCAGGGGTGGGACCAGAAGGGACATGTAGCCCAGGAGAACACTGAGCATGGGAGAAGAGTCCTTCATGAACCTGTGTATCACAGACAAGCCAATCTCTGGTGTGAAGAAAATCAGGACAGCGCAGAGGTGGGAGACGCAGGTGTTCAGGGCCCGGAAGCTCTTTGAGGGGGACACGATGCTAACCACTGTTTTGAGGATCATCAAATAAGAGAGGAAGATGAGCAAGAAGTCCAATCCCATTGTTAGGATTTTAGCAAACAAGCCATAGATGCTGTTGACTGTGATGTCCGAACAGGCCGTCTTCATGACGTCCTGGTGCAGGCAGTAGGAATGGGAGAGGACATTGGATCGGCAGTATTGGAAACGTTGCAGGAGCAGGGGGAGTGGGAGAATCATGGCCACCCCTCTTAACACACACATCAGCCCCATCTTGGTTACTCTCGGCGGGGTTAAGATGGACGTGTATCTCAGCGGGTTACAGATGGCGATGAAGCGGTCAATGGCCATCAACAAGAGCACTGAGGATTCAATACACTGAAGGAAGTGGATGAAGAACAGCTGGGCAAAACACACATTGAGGCTAATCTCCCTAGAGTTAAACAAATATATGCCCAGTATCGTCGGTATGGTGGCTATCGATAAGCCAAGGTCTGTGAGGGCCAACATGGAAAGGAAAATGTACATGGGCTCATGGAGACTTGGGTCTGTTTTGATGATGAACAGAATGACTGAGTTTCCTACTATCGAAATAACATACATGAAGCAGAAGGGGATAGAAAACCAGACATGAACATCTTCCAGTCCAGGTATCCCGGTGAGAAGGAACAATGCAGAGTTGAATTTGGTGTTGTTTACAGCTGACATAAAGTACAAGGACGGTGCAAGGAGTTTTGAAGTTTCCTTTCTGAAAGCAAAAAGAACATAAGAGTGGTTGATTTGTAGCTAAACATCTTTCAGATCTGAGTTCAAGTCCAGAAACTTCCAGGCACTCAAGGAAGACCACAAAAATATTGTCTTTGATTTACACCACCAGTGGGAAGACAGGCATGGCCAGACTGGCGCAGACCTGAAGTCCATCTAGCACAGTATCCACTGGCCAGTTCTAGATGCTTCAAAAGAAGGTGGAAGAAGTTCTTCAGTAGGCATCTGTGAGACAACCTGCTACAAGGGACTGTTTCCTTCTGACACCCACTGGCTGGATATATATTGTGTGCTAAATCTAGAAGGTTTAGAGTCCTTCCAAGTACTTTTATACTGGATTTTCTGGTTATCTATATAACCATCACATCAGCTTTTGGAATCCTGCTAATACTATCTAGATGGGTCTACTATAAGATGGATGCACAACTGTCTGGATAACAGTTTTCAGAGAGTAGTTATTAACGGTCCACAGTCATGCTGGAAGGGCATAACAAGTGGGGTTCCAAAGGGGTCTGTTTTGGGACTGGTTTTGTTCAATATCTTCATCAATAATTTAGATGATGGCATAGAAAGTACACTTATTAATTTTGCAGATGAAAGATGATACCAAGCTTGGAGGAATTGCAAGTGCTTTGAAGGATGGAGTCATAATTGGAAATAATCTAGATAAACTAGAGAAATGGTCTGAGGTAAACAGGATGAAGTTTAATAAGGGCAAATCCAAAGTACTCCACCTTGGAAGGAATAATCCGTTTCACACATACAGAATGGGAAGTGATTGTCTAGGAAGGAGTACTGCAAAAAGGCATTTAGGGGTCACAGTGGATCACAAGCTAAATATAAGTCAACAGTGTGATGCTGTTGCAAAAAAGCAAACATGATTGTGGGATGCATTAACAGGTGTGTTGTGAGCAAGACACTAGAAGTCATTCTTCTGCTCTACTCTGCGCTGATTAGACCTCAGTTGGAGTATTGTGTCCAGTTCTGAGCACCACATTTCAAAAAAGATGTAGAGAAATTGGAGAGGGTCCAGAGAAGAGCGAGGGAGGTTTAGGTTGGACATTAGGGCTATGTCTACACTACAAAGAAAAGTTGGAAAAAAATACGCAACTTGCGAACCACTTTCGAAAGAGGCCTTTCTGAAATTTGGCACATCTACACAGTGCCAAATTTCTGAAAAACCTTCTCTTTCAAGCTACCCTTTCTTCCTCGCGAAATGAAGTTTACAGGGATGGCAAAAGAACGTGTCTGCTTTTCTGATTTTTTTTTTTTTTGGTAAAGCAAATACGTTTTTTTGGATGCAGCAGTTCTTTTCTGGGATAGGTATCCTGGAAAAGAGCTGCAGTCTAGACATAGCCTAGGAAAAAGCTTCCTAGTTGTCAGGGTGGTGTATTCCTCTCTCCTGTACTGCAGCCACTTATAAATGTTTTGTTGCCTCATTTTATATATATATGACTTCAGCGGTGGAACTCCATATTTCCATGTCTGAATTTGACCAGGATTGGGTGCTATTATCTTTCCTTTACCTCCTACTCCCAGGGATGCATTCTGACATTCAAGATTCCCTCTAAGGCCGTGTCCAGACTCAGGGGTTTTTTCAGGAAAAGTAGCCTTTTCCCGAAAAAACTTCCCCTGCGTCCAGACTCAAGCCGCGTTCTTTCGAAATTATTTCGAAAGAACCCGGCTTTTCTTTCGATGGCGGTAAACCTCATTTCACGAGGAAGAACGCCTTCTTTCGAAAGTTCCTCTTTCGAAAGAAGGCGTTCTTCAATGTAAATAGGGCTTCTTCAAAAGAGAGCATCCAGACTCGCTGGGTGCTCTCTTTCGAAAAAGCGGATTGCTCTTTCGAAAGATCCGCCTGCAGTCTAGACGCTCTCTTTCGAAAGAGGCTCTTTCGAAAGATGCTTTCGAAAGAGCCTCTTTCGAAAGAAGCCTGCAGTCTAGACATAGCCTAAGAGAAACTCAAGTACTTTGCCTGGCCAGTGTTGACTGACTCCACATAATCTGATCATGCTACAGATTTCCCTTAATCTTCACATGCTCCTCATCCTTTCCACACGCAAGGGTGTTTAGATACTTGGCAAGTTAGAAGTAATATGGACAGTGACTTCAGTTGAGTGGGGTAAGGGGGTCAGCATTACAAATAGGTAAAAAAATGCAAAGTCAAAGTTTACAATAATATCCAATTCAGTGTGGAAATTACTTCAGCTATGTCTGTATAACAGCTGATGGGCATAAAGCATATACAGCCACTGCCACACTCAACTTTTCTGACCTTAACTCTACTCTTTTCTTAAATGTCATCTAGTGGTTCTGTTCTCTCAGGCCTTCTTGGAAAGACTTGCCCAGGTATTGCAGAGGGATTGTGGTCATGACCCTGAAAGGAAGTGTTACAAAAAGTTTCTCAGTTACCAGGAGATAGCACCAAACAAGTGTTCACTGAGTTAGTAGCACAAGCCCTTTGCAATCAGTATGGGCCGTCTATGCAAAATAAATTCTAAGACCAAACCATTAAGCTGTAAAGTTACCACTGCTCCTTTCTGGAGGGATTTTAGTTACTCTGCATCTGGCATGGACACTGAAAATTTGGTTTGTAATAATTGTCTTACAATAAGTTTTGGCATAACATTTCCCCATCTGTACGTTAGGACACACAGATTGACCTGTCTCACATTGAACGTGTGACATCTGGATTTCTTCAGAATCAGAAAAGCTCGCAGCATCTCATCCCTCAGCCAGTTGCTTGTCAGCATACCTAAGTCTAGTCACTCTTCTGTACTTGGGGGGAGAGGAGGTGGTAGCTGACTCGCTCGCCTCCCCTTCTATTCTGTACGTAATGACCCAGAACCTGTTATTCAGGCACAAGGAAGGTTTGCAGGAAGGGGATTTCAAAGTCAAAAGGTTCAGTAGCTGTGGACATGAAAGTCGTAGGGATGTTAAATTTCAATTAATCAACTAATCGAGTAGTCGATGGAATTTCCATCAACTACTCAATTAATCGATAAGGGGAGTGCTCACTATTCCACTGTACCTCTCCCTTTGAAATGTACAAAAGCCACCCGCAGTGGGAAGAGGAGCAGCAGGACTGCTTAGGTCCCAGCTCACATGGGTTTCCCCCTGCGCCTCTCCCTCAGGCAGATCTTGTACATTTCAAAGGGAGAAGCTCAGAACTTGGGACACCTCTGCCTCCCCTGCCCCTTGCAGAGATGATGCTGGGGGGGGGGGAACTAGCTTTAATCCAGCTCCCCCCAGTACCAGCTCCTGCTCCCCCCCCCTTGCTGCCTCTCTCTGATAGAGGCAGCAAGGTGGGGAAGCGATTAGTCGAGTCACTACAAGACTCCCCGCTTCATTAAAATAAAAATCATTGTCACTTTGTGCCGACAATCAGCTGATCCGGCACAGCACAGCAGTCTAGACGTGGCATGGTCAACAAGGGAAGCCTTTGTTGACTGCTCCGGTAAACCTCGTTTCAAAGTCTCCTCTTTTCCAAGCTGAAAAGTCCCAGTCTCTTTAATCTCTCCTCATATGGGACATGTTCCAAACCTCTAATCATTTTAGTTGTCCTTCTCTGAACTTTTTCTAATGCCAGTATATCTTTTTTAAGATGAGGAGACCACATCTGTACACAGTATTCCAGATGTGGGCATACCATGGATTTATATAAGGACAATGAGACATTCTCCATCTTATTCTCTACCCCCTTTTTAATGATTCCTAACACCCTGTTTACTTTTCTGACTGCTGCTGCAGACTGCGTGGACGTCTTCACAGAACTATCCACGATGACTCCAAGATCTCTTTCCTGATTAGTTGTAGCTAAATTAGCCCTCATCATATTATATGTATAGTTGGGGTTATTTTTTTCAATGTGCATTACTTTACATTTATCCACATTACATTTCATTTGCCATTTTGTTGCCCAGTCACTTAGTCTGGTGAGATCTTTTTGAAGTTCTTCACAGTCTGCTTTGGTCTTAAGTACCTTGAGTACTTTAGTATCAGTTGCAAATTTTGCCATCGCGCTATTTACCCCTTTCTCCAGATCATTTATGAATATGTTGAATAGGATTGGTCCTAGGACTGACCCTTGGAGAACACCACCAGTTACCCCTCTCCATGCTGAAAATTAACCATTTATTCCAACTCTTTGTTTCCTGTCTTTTAACCAGTTCTCAGTCCATGAAAGGATCTTCCCTCTTATCCTATGACAACTTAATTTACGTAAGAGCCTTTGGTGAGGGATATTGTCAAAGGCTTTCTGGAAATCTAATTACACTATATCTACTGGGTTCCCCTTGTCCACATGTTTGCTTGACCCCTTCAAAGAACTCTAGTAGATTAGTAAGACATGATTTCCCTTTACAGAAACCATGTTGACTCTTGCCTAACAAATTATGTTCTTCTATGTGTCTGACAATTTTATTCTTTACTATTGTTTCAACTAATTTGCCCGGTACTGACGTTAGACTTACTGGTTTGTAAGTGCCAGGATTGCCTCTAGTGCCCTTTTTAAATATTGGTGTTACTTTAGCTATCTTCCAGTCATTGGGTACAGAAGCTGATTTAAAGGATAGGTGACAAACCATAGTTAATAGTTCTACAATTTCACATTTGAGTTCTTTCAGAACTGTTGGGTGAATGCCATCCGGTCCCAGTGACTTGTTACTGTTAAGTTTATCAATTAATTCCAAAACCTCCTCTAAAGACACTACAATCTGTGACAAGTCCTCAGATTTGTCACCTATAAAGGACGGATCAGGTTTGGGAATCTCCCTAATATCCTCATACCTGAATACTGCAAACAGAATACACATCCTGAATACTGCATACAGATGTGGTCACTTCATCTCAAAAAAAGATATATTGGCACTGGAAAAGGTTCAGAGAAGGACAACAAAAATGATTAGGGGTTTGGAATGGGTCCCTTATGAGGAGAAATTAAA